TATTTAATCAAATTTTAAAAAAATTTTCAAGGGGGGGTGCACTACAGTGCAGGTGCACTAAAAAAGTTTTCCCTATTAATAAAATTAAAAAAAATTCAATTATAGTAAAATATACTATATATGTATTTACTATAAAATTATTTAGATATATAGTGATTTTGTGTCTATTATATACAGTACAGTATATTGCAAGTTTTATATATATATAAAGTTTTTAATTTAATTTTTTATATTGAGATTAGTATATAAATTAGAATTAGAATTAAAAAAAGATTTTAAAGATACATATAAAGCATTATTATTTAGAATACCGCATAGTAATTAATTAGTCAGTTTTTAAGCTAATATACTACATATAGCATACAGTAAATAAAATATTATAAATACGTTTTAGTAATAAAAATTATTAAAATTTTATAATAATTTGCAATACAGGATATTATATAAAATTTTTAATATTTAATAACAACTGTATATAAGTTATATATATAATATCGATAATAACATGTGTAAATATATACAAATATTTAATATCAATTTTTTTGCATTTACTGTAAAAAATAATAATAAAAAAAAAAACAATTACGAGGCGCATGGGACTCGAACCCACAATCCCCAGATCCGAAGTCTGATGCCTTATCCATTAGGCCAACGCCCCAAGTGATTCCCTATTTTCTTAAGTTTTTGTACATTTTTAATAACATTAACTATTCATTAAAATTAAATTAAATACGAAAATATATGTATCAATTACATAATAAAAAATTATTGACCTTTTAAATTTTATTGCTAATTAATTACTCAATGACATGATTGTAATATTTTAATGCTGCAGTGTTTTAATCATTAAAATAATGAAACTGTGCCATTCTAAGAATTAATTTTTTTTTCGACAAATTCCAGCTCTCGCAGTAACCTGTATCCTTATCAGATATCGGAATAGCACCCCATCATTTTTGTATTTTTCAATCTTGGATTAACACTATCAATTACACCCTCTATTTTGAACCATAAGCCAACGGAATAGAAAATACAATTTGTAGGTGGGGCAATGATGCAATAAGTACCAATTATGATATGAAGGAAATTGCCATTAAAACGTTTCTCAAAAAAAAAAAAAAAAAAAGGAATAAAATTGACCATTATATAAGGGATGAAAAAAAAATATGGGTGAACGAATACACATTCGCTCGATGGCACAAAAATAGAAATATAAACTAAAAATACAAAAACTTTAATTTTCGTGAGGAAACTGGTAGCACCTTTTACAATATTACACATCTTATGTTATTGGAATCACCAGGTGCACCTTTGGGCCTTGCATGAATGCTTACTCTGGCGGATTGTTCAAAAGCTTCTCGTACACCTGAACAATTAAAAATTGTTGAAATTAATTAATAATAATGTTTATTTATACTATATAAGATAATTATAGATGTATACCTCGATTGTGCATTGCTGAACATTCTAGATATCTAGATGCTTCGATATTTCGAGCTACTGCCAAACCCTGTTATAATGAGAAAATATTTTACAATCAGAATTGGGTCCATCGAGTTCAGTTTTTCATATGTTTACCTCTTCATATGTTACAGGTCTTTCACCATAACGTTGCATGTTTCTTACAACTTGAATATCTTCCCTTAAATCACATTTAAGGGCGACCAAGACAAGCTTGACGCCCTGACAATGTTCAAGTATTTCCTCCATCCATTTTGACTCTATATTATCTAGGGAATCTCTATTGTCTACCGCAAAACATAACATTATCACATGTGTGTCTGCATATGATAGCGAACGAAGGCGATCGAATTCTTCTTGCCCTGTTTAAAAAATTGTAAAGACTAAGAAATTGTTATTTGGTAATTAATAATTTTCACGTACTGTATTTACCTGCTGTATCCCATAGTGATAATTCAATTTGTTGGTTGTCAATCCATATATCGTGTACGTAATTTTCAAATACTGTTGGCTCGTAAACCTATAAATTGTAACGATCGGAGTTTATAATGTAAAATTTTTCTTTAGTGACTTTCTTCGTTCAATAAATAATATTAAAAAAGAAGAAAAAAAAAAAAAAAACCTGTGGGAAATAACCCTTCGTAAATACGTTAAGAAGTGAAGTCTTTCCACAGGCACCATCACCTAGTACAACTAATTTACGCTGCAACGGCTTACTTTTACCCAAAGGAGTGCAGGGCATTATGACAAAAGGACAAAGAAATACTAGTACTCTCTTAAATAGTGGAGTTATTACTTATATTCTTGGTACGTATATAATGTTGAAAAGACTTAGTAAAAAAAGTATAATTTTGTTAAGAACGGTCGTGTGAAACTATATTACAACTATTTATGGCCAGCATATTTTATGCAATATTGCGTTACAAGGAATTATAATATACCGAAATGCGTGATGCATGTAATTCTGGAACTCTTCAGATGTGTTATCTAAAAATAGCTTGATTAAAAGGTAAAACCAAAGGTTTAATAACAGATTTCCGCTTGAGCTGTAAATTCTAGATGTTGCAAGGGATTACATGAATTGTATTGTTTATAAAAAATTTCTTTCTTTTACATTATTATCATTATAAGTTTCGAAATGAATAAATAGAAGACATTCCCTTTAACCTTACAAAGTCATAAGGCATTCCCCTTTCTGATATTCGTAATGCTTAATACGTATAAAAATTTAAGCTGAAACAATTTTTTAGTTGATTGGTTAGCTTTTAGTCTTATTCTGTATTATTAAAAATTTTCTTAAAAATTAGGCCATCATCCACTTATTGGTGATTGTGTAAATTATTAGCAACAAAATTATCACGGTAGATTCTCGATTTTGATTGGCTAACGACTTGATCTGCAAAATTTTCGGCCCACGTTACATAATCCGATCGGAATTATATTATTACAAAAATAGAAATTTTTAAAAAATAAGCCTGCATTATGGTAAAATTGGTCCAGGAACAATTCTCACTCTGCGATTAGGGATCAGTGTTATAAATTCAAAAAATTTTTATTGGCGCAAATACAAAAAAAATATGCACAAAGAAAAAATTTATACGCG